AGAATTTAAGGTGCGCCAAAGATGAATATCATCATGCGATTTTTGGATCACGTGAATGCGGCGATAAATAATGATAATAGTAATAAATAGATAAATAAATTTCTCACGGGCCAAGGTCTCAGAGTGAGCTTTCTTGCCCAAAAATGTTCAATAGATTTCACCAATGCTAAGTGGTGCTACATACAGACACCTAATCATACAAGTTAAATGGCAACGTTAGATAGGTCATGCCACGTGAAACCAACGTATCGGCAGTCGCCAAAATAAGCATAATTACCGTTACCATCAGTTAAACTGGCAACCAGCAGTATTATAAAACAATGCTTCGATTGTCCTGCGTTTTCAAATGTCAGTAGTACTGATCTTAGAAGAAGTAGATCAGACCACAGGAATTGCTTTTATTAAGGCATTCTTCGGGCTATTTCTGCCGAAAATTCCTGAGAAAAGTGTATTTCTATTCCGCTAGAATTATGAGACCTCTCAGATTGTGCTTGCGTGATATCGTACGGCTAAAATCATTGGCACGGAAAGCACTGTACCAGTTTCCTTACAGCTTTGTGCCCATCGAATCTTGTGCAGATGAATGTGAGAGCTTTCGATGGGCCAGACAGGTCTACCGAACAATCGTTCGGAAATGTTTTCGTCGACTGTCCATTCCATGTCGGATCAGACAATGTAGTCGTCCTAAACGTATTTAGGTTAGGTTGGGAACACAGATGTGTGCACAGACTGATAAAAAGTAAAATTCTGGGTAAAGCATTGCATCTTTGGTCTCATAAAATATTGGAAGTGTTGCCAGGCACGTACGTTATTTATTCGATCTTGACAGGTCTATTCGTTCAAAAGAGTGTGTAATTGCTTTAATTTGAAGTTAACACCAACTGTGTTTGTCTGCGTTTGTCTAAAGTTAGCCAAAGGAATAATATTTGTTGTCATGTATTAGTTGCTGATTTGGCATTTGCCACTTCTAGTGAAGCATGGGACTCTGCAGTTGCCTTCCTTCAAACCACACTACGCACCAGTGTCTGAAGAGAAGGAAACCGTGCCACTAGAATTTTAGTACCGAAAACCCATTCACTGAACGCTCACCACTCAAAATGGAAGTGCATTTTAGTTTTCCCGCTTACTGAAGTTTGGATATCATAACAACACTGGTTATGAAACATACAGCTGTTAGAAATCTGGGTACGCACCACTCCGTCCTTACATGTGTCAACAGACTCAGGGCAAACTGGCTGACTGACTGACTAATTCGGGTGGCACCTGAGGTGATTGCATACATTCCAGAACAACTTAAGAACATTTCAATTCGATGCTTATGTACTGTGTTAAAGATATCAATGATCGATCTTGACAGGTCTATTCGTTCAAAAGAGTTGGTAATTTCTTTAAGTTGAACTGAACACCGACTGTGTCTGTCTCCGTTTGCCTCAAGTTGGCCAAAGGAATTATATTTGTTGTCATGTATTAGTTGCCGATTTGGCATTTGCCACTTCCAGTGAAGCATAGGACTCTGCAGTTACCTTCCTCCAAACCACACAACGCACCAGTGAGAAATTTCGATTGTAAAAACTTGCAAACTAGGCGAAAGATATCAATCTACGAAGTAAATGTTACTATTTTTACGCGGTACAACGTTGCTAAAAGTTATTCAACAAATAACAACGGGTTTTGCTTTACTTGAGGCTCACAGTATACATTACTTGTCATCTATTCAATGGATGTACTAGCTACCCCTTGTTACGAAGATCGTGTCAAAAGGCTTTCAGTCACCGAGTAACATGCACTTTATATATTTATAATGTGCTACTCATAAGGTTGCTTAAAGTCCGTCGACAGCCCACGATCGGCTTCGACCGTTTTGGAGCTCCTCAGGTAGGCACAGTCCCCGGTTTCCGTCAACCTTATGTTCTACTTAGCGAATATACACTCATTTGCAAACTAATTTGGTATTTTGAGAGACTCAACTGGAATCCAACTGAACCTCTCTTCTGTGATTTTTCCAGGCAACTGAATGTGCTGCATCAGGCCGCTTCATGTTTCAGTCGCTACCATATTCTAGATATCGCGATGATTGTATATTTATGATGCATTACTCATAAGGTTGCTGAGATTTTGTGGGCAGCACACGACCGGTTTCGCCCTTTTTGGGGAACGTTGACGGATTTTCAGCCACCTTATGAGTAGTACATTACAACTATATACATGAATCGCGATATCTCGAATACCGTAGCGACTGAAACATGAGGCGGCATGGTGCAGCACATTTAGCTGCCTGGAAATATCACAAACGAGAGTTTTAACCGCGCTCCAGATGAGTCTCCCGAAAAACCAAATTCGTTTGCAAATTAGTGTATCATCGGTAACATGCACATTGCTTGCTTGGAATAAATAACGAGATGACAATGATGCTATTCTCCGCCCGGCGGTTCTACAGGGCAAAATAATCCCTTTTTTATATCCTGTTGATCAATACATTTAGGAGCTGCTGAACAAAAAAGCTAGCAGAACGAAGGAGCGTATTTATTAGATCTTTTCATCAAATAGGGTGAAGGGTTAACACTACGCTAACATTGGCCTCAATTGTCGCTTTGAGCGTCAGCGAGTAGAAATATTTCCTGGGGATTTCATGTCTTCTGTTCCATTCATGTTCCTATTCTATGTCTTTTTATGCCAAAATAATCGTAACCGATTTGACGACTTTATCTGTGTACTCTAAGGTTTAGTCAACCAAAAAGATTTAGTCTGTAAAATGCTTGAATACGCTTTTAGTGTGTAGTCGAGGTTTGACGATCATGTTATCTACACAAACACACGTCGATGCCTCAATTTTTTGTTATTACATTAGGTTGCTCAATAGCTTGCTCTGGTTGATTTCTTTCGTGACGAATACGGTGATTGGTGCTTTCTATAAGCAACGTATCCCCCATTCTAAGTGGGCTGCAAGTATACCAATCAGACCAAAGAAACCCCGGTTCAGGTGAATAATATGTATATTATTCAAACGTTTTCAGACGAACGGGCATCAGCACTATGGTGTCCACTGTTTTGTATGATGTGCTACTCCTCTTGTGAATAGTGGCCTACTCGACAGCTAGCGATGAATGTCAGCCAAATTACCCGGGTTTCTGGCTTCACTGTGAATCCGACACACATCGATGGTTGGATGTGAAAACCAGTCAACGGATAGACGGACCAGTGGGATTTTTTACAGATTTCGACCTTTGGCAATGCATAAGGATGTGCGAGATAACAACCCGTTGTATGATTATTAAATACGTATTCGATTTTCGGGTAAGTATGCCTTGCTACTCTTACCAGATGTAACAGAACGCCATTACTCTTGGCTGAAAGTTTTCTCAGGGTGTTCAGCTTTTTAAAAAGCACCCTGGATTGTTGATAAGTTCGTATCAAAATATCAGTGGTAGCAATATTTTGGAACGAATATAATGTGCACATATTTCTTTGCCAATGTGTAAATGAGAAAAATAATTGGTAAACTCCAGTAGGATTATGTTCAATTATGTGAAATCACTGCGATTGGTTTTAATTTATCTTAATTTAATATTATTGCCTTGTTAGCGTAAGATGGCACCAAGGCGTGGGGTATTTTCTTACATTCTAACCGAGATATGAGTTCTTGTATGAATGGATAGTTGTTGCTGCATTGTTAAATAAGAAAGGTATATCCACTTAGGTCCGATTGGCTTCATGAGGTGACTGCACTCGTCGCTTACAAATGCGTGAAGCAATGAACCATTTGGCCTCAATTACTTGACGCACAACGTACAAATTTGTACTCTCAGTTACACACTCTTCATGGCCCATCAAATATCTCCGGAGCTTCCAGTGATATCGTGTTCTATTAGAACAACAGTTTGTCCTCAGATTTCGAGGCACGTATATTTTCGTAGATGAAATAGCACCTTATTTCAAGAAAATATGCTCAGGTCTATCGTTACAAAACAAGGCAAATGAGCAAATCTGGCGGAATAAATTCATTTCAATGACGGTCGTTGACGAGCGCTTTTGGTTATGTACATCCCTAGCCAACAGAGTCAATTCAGAGGACTAGTTGAGTAAATCCATACTATGAGTTGTTGTTGCAACCCGAGAAATACAATTGTAAAACGTCTTGCCGCGCTACCAAACTAAACTGGATCAGTTTCTACCCCACGCACAGGGTTCGGCATATTCTGGCAAAAAGTCAGGTGTGTCCTAAAACCTTGTCTTATCAGGAAAGAAAAACAGCTATCAGGAAGTGAGAGCGTGGCGCTGAACAGCATGAGATTATAAGCCTATGCGTACAGGCTCATAAAAGATAGCTAGACACACCATGAATAAAATCTTGGTGTTCCACACATTTCGGCCGAAGAACACCCGGGAATATTTACATTATGCTAACTGAAGACTGAAACCACATCTACCATATGGACTATCAATGCATAAATTTTTTCAGATTCATTACAGTAAAATTTGAGTGAACACAGGTTACCATTTTCAACATCTTTCCAACATTTTATCCACATATTTTTAAAACGTCACACAGCAGAACAGATGAAACATTTCACCTTATTGTTGTTCAGGGAGTTAACTCAGGAATAATCCATCTTCAAATGTTACAGAACTTGGGGCAGCAATAAAACAGTTTTCGAATTTCTTCGAAAATCTTCCAAAAATTTATTTGTTTTGACCTATGTGCGATTCGGTAACTCAGGCTTATATCAATCAGCTTTCTACCAAGAACTTGTGACTATTTTGCTGAAATAATTCAGGTTTTGTATTCATATACTTAGCGTCCAATAGGTTGTGACACCGTAAAACTGGTGACGTGGTCCCCTCTAAGTGACTGAATAATAAATCCCGAAGCTGCTTTCTGAGAGAGAACATTGCGCGTTTTACTGAAGTGTTTGTTCGTACTTTTCCACCCCAACCATTTGTCGAAATTTGAATGTCTTGAGAATTCGTGTACTATTCACTGTGTTCCATTTCAATTTCAGTTGATCTTGTTGCTTATGTTCTGCCCGTTTCCACCTCCACATTTCATTGGTTCACACAGACCTGCACACTCGATGAAGTTGGCATGTCGACTGTGCCTGCGCAAGACAACAGAATAATTCTTGTCTACAGGCTGGAATGCTGCGGTAAGCTTGCATTTTTACGTACTGGGCGAGGATATATTTCATGCCGTGAAATATATTCTTGAGTATATGGTGATGGGACTTTCATTCAAATCGGTAGCCCTTAATATTAGTTACATGTTGTGACTAAAGACATCTATGTAGGAAATCGTATATGATGTTTCTATAGGTTTTAGAACTAGCTCACACATATTCCGTGGAGTGTATCTGATGATGACATTAAGTGACACAAACAATACGTTACTTTCACTAGCGTTAAAGAGCGTAAACGGTTCATTGTTTGTCCGCGGGACAAATATGTCCAATCATTCATTATTAGACAGCAATGGTGCGAATATGAATGAAATAAGACGGATTTTGGTGGATGAGAGCTCTTCCAGAATCCATTGATCATAATAGACGTTAAGTTTCATCATCGTCAATATCATTCCTGTAAACCTCAGTTGGCTGTATGAATGCTAAGCATCTACCCTCAAAGAACGCCCAACCAAAGTGAGGTAATCCTTTTTAAATATCCATTGTTTGCCGTGTGATGTCCAAATCGCTCGATTCTGACCGTAGATCATTTCTAGTAAGCTCAGTATTGTTTGATATCCCAGCGACCGTGGAACCAATCACAGACCTGGAGTCCTCAAGATGGGAATGTACGTTCACATCGGCCCAGAGAGTTTCTTCACTCTACTGAGTTATTTCAGCCCGAGAATACATGTTTGCAATTATCACCACTACCGACTAGATATCACTTGTTGGTCTAAGAACTGGGTGCCCAACACAAACGTCATACAGATCTCCATGGGAGGAATTTATGCCGACAACTCGGTCTTCTATGACATGCAAACTAATAGCTCAGTTCCCTGTTGGGGGCATTTGCATTAGCAGTCCAGTTTTACAGTGAGCCCAATTCTTGTCCATTTGAACCTCCCAGAATTCCTATACCCAGCGTGGGAGATCTTCTTAGTGTTGCCAATTGCTACATTCATCATAGGAATGGCACTCAATGCCTCCTCAAGCAACAAATCGACGAATTTAATAGTGTTGGCGTCCGAAGAACTGCATCTTCCATCGACATGAGTTACCGACACACTATCCTTTTCGTCGATCATGGCGATACTCATTATTCGTCCCCCGATTATAGCCCCCGGAAAATTCACGTTGTTTGAAATGCACTACCTGATGAGCTCCATAAAGGCCGAAGGCGGTTGTCGGCTTTCGATTGATCTCCTTCTCTGTATCTCTACCAGATATGTATCGTGCATTACAGGCTAATCTTCAGACGTGCAAGTGAGCTTCAAGCGGAGTAAGAGAATCAAACCAGCCGCGAAGAAACTGTTCGACAACGATGATGTCGGACGACTTTGGGTACGCGATCGCCAAGGAAAAATTTAGTGCGGACGAAATTGATGAATTTTTTTTCGGTTTTAAATCACCTCACTGTCTACTTCTTTCCCTCATATAAATTGACATTCGTCGTGCGGTGCCGCTTCAGGATGTCAATTGGTATTGGAGTCATGAGTACTTTAATCAGGTAGTATAACATAACGGTATGTTGTTGCTTCTCGAAAAGCAGGAGGCGTGTAAGTGTTGGTCACAGCATGCTAATATGGGTAAAGTGGAAATTTTGTCATCGGATATTGCCATACCATGGCAAAGATCACATATTCAAACACACGTCTTTCAATCCAACCCGATGAATGTTTGAACTCAACAAAAGTCACTAGATGGAACGTGGCGTTTCCAGTTTTATGTGAAAGGTAACGACAGGATGCACTCAACAATTCATTCAAAGCTGAAAATACCATGTTAAACTACGGTAAATTGAAGGTTGGAACGTGGCATATAGAAGTGAATTGCAAGCAATGCATCGAAGACTGAAAGGTGCGTTGGTTGAAATGAGTAGATGAGAAATTCACGGATTGCGGAAACAAATATGTTTTTGTTTGAGGTTAAAGTAAAACATCGCAAACAAAGTTAAAAGTGAGTGGAACGAGCAGCATTGAAGTGAAGATTAGCATGAAGATATAGAAAGAGGACGAGTTTGTAAATTCAGAACGAACATGTCGGATTGATGAATTTCCGTTTGCGAGAGGATCGGTTAACGAATCGCGTTTTGTTTGGTGAACATGGGGGCATGCACTGCAAACAAACTGAGTTAACGAATCGCGTTTTGTTTTGTGAACAATGAAGCATGCACTGCTAACAAACTGAAGCTTACCACATTCGAAATACTCAAGTAGAAGTCTGAATTGTGAGTGCCAAACAAACTGACGGTATAATCGATGAAGAGAAATTACAAGTCAGGTAATGAAATATTTAGATTGAAAATACGGAAATATCAATGTCAAAGAAAACCCAGGAAAAACCGGCTGAATCAGGAAAAGCTTACATTTGATGTTAACAAAACAGCGGTTAACTAAAGAACAAACTTTTCATGCGATGCTTCTATTTCGAATAACGAGGACTCTACTAACCAACGGGTGAACGTTGAAAATATTGGGGAAAATGCTATGCCTTGGTATATTATGCTCCCGGCTGAATATTGGTAAGGTGACTAAAACTGTCAGCAATTACCAGCCTGCATACGGACATTCGTGAACATCATTCTAGATTTCCTCTGAGAAGCATTATTCCCCGGAGCTTTTGGGATTCCTTGGATCCGACAATCGATAATGAAATGCTTTCTGGGGACTCGAGCTTCGTCCTAATTAGATGTCATCTGCAATGAATATCCTCGGTGTCTTGAATACACGCAAATTGATACGCGAGACAAACATAGTTCAATTACTTCGACGGCGTGCGCAAGAGGCATCTGAATTTGTAAATCCTGACTTACGCCTCAGAAGTTCCTATGCTCCAGGTTAGCATACAGTTGGTGGCGGTCATCAATTTGGAATGTGTCGGGTGCCCATATATCCCGCACAATTTCTGCACAATATTGAAACTTAGATGATACATCCGTACACTGCAAGTTCCGGAACTAATGCACAATTATGAACAACTCAAAATGTAACTTGAGGTGGTCAATCAAGGCATCCAGTTATTTTTCAAGAATGCGACATCACTCCAGGCACAACGTAGGAGCTAGTCCTCGTTCACCGAGTGGACGTGCGACATTCTAAGGGGAACGTCGCAATTGCCGTAATGGTCGCATGGTTTCTGTTTGAAAGTGGACAGCTTCAACCGTTTTGCCTTACTGGAAGCAACGTAAATCTCATGTCGTATAATGACGCTATTGAACACATTCGAATTAAAAGATCTAGCCAGCCTCATGCTTAGGTGAGCATCAGATAGGCTCCCTAACATTGCGCTTGTTGAACACGATCTTGAACAAGCAAAGATGGCTAATATATTGATTGGAATAATCTTTCCCATTTTCGCCATTATCATCGGTGTCGTGGGATACGTTTTGTCTAAGTTTATTGCGTGAAAAAGCAGACCTATCACAGCATTCCAAAGTTTAGAGCCAACTTCTTCGATTGTCATCCGCAGGCCCAGTCGACGCTCCTTTCCATCCAAATACGCAAGTCTGCGCAGAGCAAAGGGATGAGGAGATGGAATCATTCAGAATCTACGTAACGAAATCCACTGCAACTGAAATCACACACAGGGAATAGTGCATCGATTATTAGGACGAAGTGATCCGTGTCATCCGAAATCCCACAAATATTCGGGGTTATGAATTACATACAAGATTCACCAGTCAACGACTCCACGCTCTCTCTCAGGGAACAAATACAGGCTTTATCATCTGGTTGGTTTCGATGAGCCATGATATCTACATTACAACGCGGATACTATTGAGGCTTAACTATATGTAGACGAAGTCAGAATTCGTTCAGCCTCACGGTGGTTAGCATACTCCCGTAAGTCCATGTACCGAAAATCGCAAACACGGCCGAATTCGTGAACTCAAAGAATACTTTCGGAGTGTCATGCACCAGAAACGATCATCCCATGACACGGAACATTTCCTGACGGAATATACATGGAGGATTGTCCCGAACAAACTGCCAAATACATAAAGCATCTGAGATCATCTCTGATCGGACATATTCGCAATAATGGTTGGGGTAATTGACATGAAGTCATTGAAAATAGGAGTAGTGTATATTTAGCCTTCGTTGTGATAATCATGAAAGCATTTAGCGATTGGGAATGCATGCAACGGATTTTGCTTTTTAATCGGCATTATGCTCGAATTTTCCTCTGTTTTCTGGTCGATTTATGAAGATCACTCTTGATTCTCCGCGTGGCCATCCATATTTCATGAGTTGAAATTCCCATGTTTGTATATGGTTCTTTATAGCATTAAGCGTTTATCCCATGATGTCCAATCAGCTTTGCGGATTCAACCAACATTTCTCACGTGCTAGATTTGTC